ATTTGGTGCTCCGGTAGTTGGTATTGATCGCATTTATACACAAATAGATGAATACTTTATATGTGAAAATTATCAATTATTATATAAATAATTTTTATGAATAAATTTTTAAAAATAAGTTCACCTATAATTAGTAACCTGGCCAATTGCATTCAAAATCGATGCAACAATAGAGCCAAAATAGACTGACCTTTCACCTTCAATCTCAATCTGTATTATAAGTAATATATGAATAAATACATATACTGTTCAAGGATATTTATTATATTATACTTACATCAGTTGGCAAGGCTTTCATATAAAACTTTTTATTAGACAACATATCCAATGATGTGTTAAAATTGCAGTCAATGTAAGTCATATTAACACCAAGCACAAATCTATGCCAAAAACCGAAATTATGTGCCTCGATGTAATTCTGAATGTTGCCATATATGAGCATCAGACCTTTTAATTCACTCATTATATTAATAAATAAAATGTGTATTTTATTTTCTAAAAACTTATTGTTAGTATTTAAGACAGATCTTTCACTAACATATAAATGGTCTAGTACATTATTATTAAATTAAAGGAGTAATATTTTAAATGTACAAACATAAATATAGTATATTAGTTTAATGTACGGTATCTAATATGTTATATAATCAATAAATATTGATATATAAATTACTTTTTTATTATGGTTTTGTACTTAAGTATTGTATTTTTATTAATCATTAATAATTATACATAACAGCTATTAATTTTTCCCATAATAATTATTTATAATTATTTTAACAATCAATTAATAAAGTAATTATTAGAGATGTTTTATTGGAAAAACATTAATTTATACATAATATGTAAATTATTATTTTATTTAAACATAAATTTGCATGTCTATTAAAATAATTATTTTTGTTTAAAATAGGATTGTATTTCAATAATTATATGTAATTAATTAAATATATTTCTTATATAGGAATAGATTATAAGTATTTCTAATGATTATATTAATATTTATAAATACTGTAATTACTCTTGAAAAATGCTATACGTTTATAAACATTTTCTGTGGCAAATACAATTAAACAAACGCCTAAACAAATAAAAGTCATTATGAATAGGGATTTCATTTTATGAGTCGTGAGGTCTTCACATGGATTAGGGGTCTGGTAGTAAAAGTCGGACACAGATCTGTTGTTAAAGGCAGTATTTTCCAAAATGGTCATGTACGTTTTGAAAATAAACTTATTTCTCGATATATACCAGTATTGCAATAGTGATGACTCGTACAGGCGTTGAGTACTATTAGAAAATAAGTAATTTTTTAAATGTTTAACAAATATAACAAAAAAGTTTAAATAATATCCGATTGATTAATGAATGCAAACTTCGGTCCAAAGCATAGGGGAGTTATGAGGAATGGTAGGTAGGACTCGCCCACGTGTATGGACTCAAATAGGGACCCAAATATGAATAGGACGTCAGTCCAGGTCTGGTCCTGAAGAATGACTACTTGTTTGTAATAATTATGAAGATCTTCCGGTCGTTCAGTAATCTCTGAAAACCTGGATATAGTGTCCAAACTGTCCCATCGGATCAGCTTATGGGTCACTAATCGCATAAAAGTAGCTTTAAATGAATTATTTGGTAGGCTTTCTATAAACTGACTGCCCGTCCACTCCTTGTAGTTACGACGACTAGTCAGCACCTGTAGCTTATCGTCCATTATATCCTCAATAGTATGTGAACTAATGAAGGGTCGGTTCACGAGATTAACTAACAATCCGTTTCTTATAATTTCAAGTATGGGTATTAGGGATGTTAGCCATAGTATATAGAGGTAATTGCGATGACCCGGGTCTTCCCATACCCCTAACAATGTCTTTGAATATATCCAAATGTAATGAAAGATTGATTTGTTTTTTCCATTTTTATCGTTAAGATAATGAATAGTCTTATTGACAATTATTAGACATATAAGAGTACTTAGTATTGAATACCAGACAATTGTATCCAGGCCCTTCCATATATCAAAAATTGGTGGTAAAGCCTGATAGTTGTTTACACTTAAGATGTTTATTTGATTGGACATGTATAATGGTTTCGAGCACCGGTAGCTCATATTGTCTACGGTTTCAGTTTCTAATAAGTAATTTAGTGATGGTTTATCTAAACCTGTTAACTGTCCATTTAACACCATATCCCGCTCAGGTATTTCATTGCAATTAAAAACATATAGATGCACACTGTATGAAAATTAACATGTATGTATTTATTTGCTAGTATCATTAATATAAATATAACCAGCATAAATTCCTACCTATAATTAACCGCTTTAGAGATTTCAATCAATATTGACGCCATTATTGAGCCATAATATGCAGCTCCCTGTCCCACGATCTCGATATAATCTTTCTGTATTATGATAAACAAGTTTAGTTCATGGTCAAATAGAAATCATATTAGTTTACATCATTAGATAAAGCTTTAAAATAAAATCTACGATCGNAAAAACGCATCTAAACTATCGGATAAAGAGAAATACTTAAATTTGATTACTTTTTTTGTGCCCTGAAAGTCAAACTGTATTGTCATTTGAGTGAAACCGTTTTTATTTGATGCCATAAAACAAATTCACACATTTTTTCACTCAAATAATTTTATTATATATATATTTTTGTCGTTTTTAGTTTTTAGAAGTCTCTCTCTCTCTCTCTCTCTCTCTCTCTCTCTCTCCCTTATATTTGATTCAATACTTAAGTGTATTTGACTTTTAGTTTTTATTTCAAGGATTTTTTTGGTGAACATTTTACTAAAACATTTTTCTCAATAAGTAATATAAACCTCGGTCGCTGTAACTTCATAGTGAATTTATATTTGGCGCTTAGCTTTTGACTACTTTCTAGCTTAATGTCCATTAATTATGGTCAGTATTTAAGTTATCAACTTTTTGTGTAAATATAGTGGACCGGCTGAGACTGTATTGTATTAATACTTAAAGTAAACAAACTTGTGAATATCAATGCTGAGGGATTACTAATCCTTAAGATTCAAATTGATAAATATAACTCAGCAATGATAAGAAATTAATTTTCAGCATTGATATTCACAAGTTTGTTTACTTTAAGTATTAATACAATACAGTCTCAGCCGGTCCACTATATTTACACAAAAATTGATAACTTAAATACTGACCATAATTAATGAACATTAAGCTAGAAAGTAGTCAAAAGCTAAGCGCCAAATATAAATTCACTATGAAGTTACAGCGACCGAGGTTTAGATGCCAAGTAACTGCATAAAATAAATATTATTAAATATTAGATTTAATAAAATTTTTAAAAAATTAATAAAAATAAATTACTAAGTCTTAGAAATACACCCGATTAAAACACAAATGAAACATGGTCACATGCAAATCTTTTTTAAATAGTATATATAAATAAATTCTGCCAATAAAACAATATACAAATTAAAACAATGCAAAATAAGGAAAATACACAATTTATTCTAGGACTAATTAAAATAAAAATTACACTGGATTGTTTTTATTTATAAACTAATCTAATATTAAAAATTTTGGTAATTAAAAATTAATTTTATGAACTGATTATTTAAATGCTTGAGAAGTTTATATTAGGGCTTATAAACAAATTAAATAACCATTTGGAAACATAATATCCGCGTACAAACATATTAATAGCATACAAATATGCAAATTAATGTTATTATCAAATTTAATTCATCTAGCTTATATAATATATTTATTAAATTATTTCATTAGTATTCAATTTAAGCACACATTCAAACATGAATGCAATTAAACAAATACTTGACAAATAGATTGTCATAAAAAATAATGATTGCATTTCAGTGATAGTCAAGTGTTGGTAGGGGTCGACCGTTTTGGCGTAAAAATCGATTATAGGTTTGTCCATAAAAACACTGTTTTTAGCGATATTTTTGTAGATTTCCATATAAAATGAATTTCTCGTGAGATACCAGCGCTGCAAAAGTGATGCCTCGTATAGACGTTGTGTACTAATCATACAAATAATTTAAAATATTTTTCATAAAATTTATATAAAAACTCACATAATTTGCGATATATTAGTGAATGGAAAGTGGGGTCCGTAACAGATCGGTGTCATGAGCACCGGTAGGTATGATTGTCCGGTGTGTATGGACGCAAATTTGGTGCCAAGCATGATAAGTATGTCAACCCATGTCTGGTCCTGAATGATGACAACATTTTGCAGACTTTTACGGAAAATTTCCGGACTTTTGGTTGAATCTGCGAAGTTATTGAACGTCTCCAAAGTTTCCCAATGTTTAAAATGACCACTTGTTATCAAATTTTTAAAACTCATTTTAAATGAATTATTTTGTAAGCTATCGATAAAGCGAGGGTCTGTCCACTCCCTGTAATTATGACCACTCGTGTATACCTCTAACCTATCGTCCATTAAGTCTTCAATAGTATGCGAGTATAGTAACCGACGTGTTATCAGATTAGCTAACAATTCATTTCTTATAATTTCCACGACAGGTATG